ACACACACACACACACACACACACACCACCCCATTATGTGGTCCTTTGCAGGCATGGGAGGGACAACCCACTCCTTTGTCCCTAAGCTAGCTGCCTAACAGCACCTGTAATTGTGATGTGTGGACCTGCCACCGGTCATGCTTTACAGGCAGTCTCCTTTGTCCTCCCAGGCACTGTCCAAGCCCTGTCTTCCAGCACACCCTGGGGCACCATTCTGACCTCAAGCTAATGTGTGTCTGTGTTGTCTTGGTCTCTTTTGAATACATCGTACATGTTCGCCTTAAAGTATATTTATATGGGGTCTCTTATACCCTAAAACAAGTTCCATCTGTAACATGAGTAGCACATACCCAGCCCCCAGGTACCTTGGGGTCTGTGAGAGATGCTGCGTGTAACTTCCTTTCCTGACTGCGACCCCGCTGGGCATGGGGACAGGGGCACCTCGAGAGTGAAGCCCGGCGTGAGGAAGGTCCCCATTTTCCCTGCAGTTGGCGCAGACCCACGGCAGTGTGTTCACCATGTGGGTGGGCCCGACCCCCATGGTGGTGCTGACCGGCTTTCAGGCGGTGAAGGCCGCACTGGTCTCCAACTCGGAGCAGTTCTCTGGCCGGCCCCTCACCCCGCTCTTCCAGGACCTGTTTGGAGAACGAGGCAAGATTCCCATTCCTGTTGGGGAGGAGGGGTGGCTGATGGTGATCTGTCCCGAACCCCAGGCCGGCCCTGGACTATTAACAGAACGGGAATGACCAGGAGGTCTGGGGGGCACAAAAGGAGTGGGCTTTGAGAGCCCAAAGGACCTGGGTTCAAGCCTCAGCATCAGCCCTTGCCCCCTCTGCACCTCAGTGTGAGCGGTGAGGGAGGTGAGTGAGCTTGGGGCTCTCCAAGGCCGGGAAGGAGCTGGCAGACTGGCCAGTCAAGAGGAGGCATGCTGAGCCCACATTGAAGGTGCCAGGCTCACTGCCTTCTCCCCCAAATGCCCCTTCCCTGGCCAGTCAGCCCCGACACAGAGCTGGCCGCGGAAAGGGGTGCTCATGGTCTCACCTGGGCCCAGGGATCATCTGCAGCAACGGCCACATGTGGCGGCAGCAGCGGCGCTTCTGCCTGGCAACGCTTCGCGGGCTGGGCCTGGGCAAGCCAGCGCTGGAGCGGCAGCTGCAGGAAGAGGCAGCCAAGCTGGCCGAAGCCTTCCGCCGGGAGCAGGGTGAGTGGCAGGCCTGCTGTGTGTGAGCCAGCAGTGGAGGGGGCGCATCCCCAGGGGGCATGGACACAGACACAGGCACTGGGCGGGGGGCAGGGGGGGCGGTACAGGTCCCCCCGGGGAACGAGAAGCCGTCCTGTCTGCCCCCAACATCCCAGGCTCGTTACCCCTACAAGCCTCGGCTCACGTCATTCCCTCTCAGGAATGCCTGCACCCACACCCTGCCCCTCCTTGCTCCTCCTGAGGTCACCTGCCCTAAGAAGCACCCCTGGATCCCAGGCATGGATAGTCCGACTCCTCATCGTTTGTCGCACTGATGTCCGGTGGCCCTTACATGCAAGCCTGTCTCCCACACCTGGCTCTGAACACCCAGCACCTGCCACTGAGCCTGGCTCTTAGAGGGTGCTCAGTAAGCACTTGCTGGATGTCTGAGAGAGCGAGGGGCGAGAATGAGTGAGTCAACACAGGATGGATAGCAGGCACCCGATTGTACTGGTGCTCCAAGCAGTGGTCTCTGTGTCTCCTCACCTCCTCGGACTCTCCGCCCTCAGGCAGACCCTTCGACCCTCAGCCAGCCATCGTCATGACCACGGTCAGAGTCATCGGGGCCCTGGTGTTCGGCCAGCACTTCCCCAAGGAGAATCCGTTCTTCCTGGAACTGACTAGAGCCATTGACTTTGGCTTGGCCTTTGTCAGCACCACCTGGCGCCAGGTAAGTTGGCACTGAGGGAGTCGATGTAACCAAAAGGTTGGTAGTTCAAACCCACCAGCCACTCTGAAGCAGAAACTGAGGCAGGTTCAATGCCTGGCCAATGCACCGCCCCTACTCACCTACCAGAAGAGGCTTGTGTGTGGCTATGATGCTGAACGGGTTGTTCCCAGACTAGGATGTGTGGTTGGAAGGGGTGCCAGCCCCCCACCACTAATCACGGGTATGATAGGCACAATTGTACGGTTGAGATATATAAATATTAAATTAAAGTCATAGAGAGCATGAGAGATAAAAGAAAGATAGAAATAATGGAGTCAGACACATTTCATGGTAGCATTGCTCACCTCAGCCCCACTTGGTGGTCCACGTGGAGTGAGGGGGAAGGGAAGGAGGACAAGGGGAAAGGGAACAGGGGAGTGAGGACGGGAGAGGAGAGGGGGAACCAACGAGAGGTCAAGGGAGGAGCCGAGAAAGCACTCTTTATTGCTAACCCAGGCCTATATATCTTTGGCGTGGAGTGTAAGCCCAAGGTAAAGACATATGTCACAGGAAGGGGTTGCACTATTAGTTATACAGCAATGAGAGGGGGACAATCTAGGGATATACACGCAATAGGAAGAGGAGGGATGGGGGTATACATGTGACAAGAAGGGCAGATCCTAGATCCAGGGTGACAGCTGAACTTTGGATGTGCAGTGCCGGTTTGATCTGTTCTCTGCATCAACTATAGACCATTATCTGCAGGGTGTGAACTCCACCTACAGGAACCAAATCCATGACTGCAAGCCTTTAGAGAGAAGTAGTCTATTGTCCTTAACAGCAGGGAGCAGGCCTACCCGTGGTGGCCTGAGCAAGTAGCCTGGCAGCTGACTGCCTTCTGGGAGAATGTCTCTGAATATCTGAGCTTTTCCCATATACTAACGGAAAAGCCCCTAATGTTTGGCATGTCTTTGCGGGAGACAATGCTGGGGAAAAGTCTCTTTATAATCCCACAAGGATGGACTAGGAGGAAAGGCCTGGTGACCTCCCAGAGACAACTGGCCGATGAAACTAGGGATCACAACACTGATCGTGGGGGCGGTCCACGACCAGGCGGCATTCCATGCCCTGCTGCCTCTCCAGGGCTTCTAGCAACAGCAAGTGGGCCCTTTGGGGAGGCAGGTGCTTCGGCCGTTGGACAGCGGGGGCCCATGGTGCACCGGCTGAGAGGTGGACAGAGACAGGCCACAGCTCCTTAGGCGGCTGCCACCCAGCACCCTGACCCGGCTAATGCGCCTGCCCCGCTGTGCTGGGGTGCTGCATGCCTGTGTGAGCAGGAGGGAAAGGCGGTTACAGTCTCATCCACAGGGTTCCCAGTCGGCTCCCAAGTGCGCCCCGCTCCTCTGCTATCACACCTTTAGTTTCTGCCAGGTGCCCCGCCCACGTGAGGCTCCCGGGCACAGCTCTTTGTGCCTGACTCAGGTCTCTGTCCTCACAGTTCTACGACATGTTCCCCTGGGCCCTCTGCCACCTCCCGGGACCCCACAAGAAGCTCTTTAGGCAACTGGAGGGTGTGCGCGACTTCATCCGCCAGGAGATCAGCAGACACAAGCTCAGGGGACCCGAGGCTCCCAGGGATTTCATCAGCTGCTACCTGGCCCAGATCACCAAGGTGGGCCTAGAATGGCTGCTAGGGGTGGAAGGGAGGGGCCTGCTTTTCCGGGCCTTGGCCTCAGGGTCTCATCTCTGACCCGGGCCACCAGCTCTCAGAGCTGCCCAGAGCTGTGGCTGTCTGGGCCTTCCCCTCTCTCTTTTGCCCAGGCTCCAGGCCAGGGCTCCTAAAGGCCTTCTGACCACCGTCCACCAGGCCCAGGATGACCCAGTCTCGACATTCACCGAGGATAACCTGATCCAGGTGGTCATTGACCTGTTCCTGGGGGGCACCGACACCACGGCTACCACCCTGCACCGGGCACTCCTCTACATGGTTCAGCACCATGCCATCCAGGGTGAGCACCCCCAGCACCTCTGCCTCGGGGTCTCCTGCCCACACCAGTCTCTGCTCCGTGTCCCTGGGGCAGGTCCTGCTCTTGCGGCCACGGCACAGGAAATGGCATGGCCTTGTCATTTCATAGAAGGGCCTTCCCACCCTACCTGCGACCTGCTGTGTGATTTGGGGTAAATCACTGAGCCTCTAGGAACCAGCATAAAATGGGGCGATGTCGTTTTTGCTCACTCAGTGATGAGCTCCAGGCCTGTGCTAACACCCTCCTCAGAAGCACAACTGGGGACACAAGGGCGGCTGGAGGTCCCTCGGGGCCAAACAGCTGTGGTCTAAATTCAGATCCCGGTTCCATCAGTTCTGTCCTCTCTGAGCCTCACTTTCCTCACCTGAATAATGCAGATGACGGTGGCTGTCCCCTCAGGCTCTTTGAATAGAGTGTCTGATCCATAGTGGATACTCAACTCTGGTTTCTTACACTTCTCTCATTTCCCACTCCCTGGCACCCTTCAAAAGCCAACCCTACACAATCTTGCTCACAGGAAGCTAGCTGGGGTTCAGAGAGGGCTTCTCCCGTGCGACTGGGAGCAGTAGGGTGAGGTGGCCAAGGAGCCCTGAGCCTTGCAGCCTCCTCTGGTGGGGACAGAGGTGGTAGAGCAGGCAGGCCAGGCCCAGGTGTCCTCTCCAGAGCCACGTGGATGTGCATGCAGAGCGAGTGCAGCTGGAGCTGGATGCAGTGCTGGGCGCAGCCCCTGCTGTCTGCTATGAGGACCGCAAGCGCCTGCCCTACACCCGCGCGGTCCTCCACGAGGTGCAGCGCCTCGGCAGTGTCGTGTCTGTGGGTGTTGTGCACCGGTGTGTGACCTCCACTCGTGTGCTCGGCTACCCCATACCCAAGGTAAGTGGCTCCTTAGCCAACACAGCACCTACAGAAGCACCCTCCAATGCCCTGCCCTTCCTGACCAGCACAGCCAACTTCTACAACTCCTCCTTACATGCCTCCTACCAATTCATCAGTCATCTCTCTATTATCTCTCCATCCACCCATCCATCCATCCATCATCCATCCTTCCAACCATCCTTCTAACATCATCCGTTATCCATCCTTCCATCATCCATCTATTATCCATCCTTCCTCCATCCATCATCCACCCATCCATCATCCATGCATCCATCCATCCTTCCATCACCTATCATCCATTATCCAATCTTCCATCCATCCACATACTCACCACCTACCTGCCAACTACTCTATCTCTATCTGTCTGTCTGTCTGTCTGTCTATCCATCACATATGGGGGTTTTAGTGGAGTTTCCAAACTAAAAGGAAGCCTGGTGATCCATTTCAAAAAATCAGACAATGAATGCTGTAGATCAAAACCAATTAGGGGGATGGTGCAAGACCAGACAGCATATAGTACCATGGAACATGGGGTCCCCAAGTATCAGGCTGCACTTGATGGCAGCAGGTTTCCAGTGTCACAGATAACACTTGCAAACATTTAATCTACGTCTTTCCAATGTTCTCTCCACGCTTATTTTACATTGTTGTCGAGATGTTGACTTATGTATGAGGGTTAAGTAAGAAAAAGCATTGCTATAAAACCTTTATTTTAAAAAATATTATATACTTCTGATGGCAGGGTTTCAATCTCTCAAACCCATCCCTGAAGAATTCTGACTCTTTGATTGACACAAGCTCAAGATGGCAGGTTGGACTTTCTTACGGAACTCAAGTTGTGTTCCTTTTAATGTTCTCTCAGTTTGGGGATCAAAAGAAGTCTGAGCAAACAAGACCGAGGTGACAGGGTGGATAGGTTAAGATTTCTCAGTAAAATCAAGAGTTATCATGATTTTTTTAAAAATCCCCGGGTGCAGCTTTCCTGCCTTTTTCTCACCAGTGCAGTTGTCCGTTTTCTTAAAACTTCTTCCTAATAAGCCCCCGAGATCCCATGTCCTTCAAGAAAACTAGAAAGATTACCTGTTTAGAATTCCTAAAACCAGCCACCATAACCTTGTGAGCTGACCTTTTTTCTTTGAACTTAATTCACCCTGCAGAGCCCCTTGGAAGCCTCTCCCCACACCCTTTTTTTGGGAAGGCACCCTCATGAGACCAAGACAAGTGTGTGACTGAGAGGACTTGTCTCCAACCAGCCACTGGTCACAGAGGTGTGTGTACACAGTTTATTTTATAATAAAACCTGTAGGTATCCACCAGAACCCGCAGTAGCAAGATTTTTCTTTTAACTTATAATAAGCTTTCTTTCATGTAGCATGTCCAGATTCTTTACACCAGTGGTTTCCCAGCTTTCAGGTACATCGGAGTCACCTGGCGGGATAATATACATTAGAAGGGATTGAGTAGCTCGGCCCATGCTCAAGGACACAGGAACACACAGGAATGTGAGTGCCAAGGTCTGCCACAGGTGTGGAAGTGGCAAGGTTGCCACTTTGATGAAAACGAAGCACTCGTTTTAAGGTGTGGTGGAAAGATGGCCTCTCTGTGCCCAAAGGTGGTGGCCAGAGCCCAGGACTTTCCTCGGACAGGGGCCTTGGGTCCTCACTGATGCTCCAGCCCCACTGTGGCGGGGCAGTAGGAGTGCAGCCTGGAGAGAAAATGTGGGGGTTCCCTTCTCCACCATCAGGCTTGGTTCAGCACTTTCAGACCCTGGTATGGGGCAGACTTGGCCCTAAGGGACTGCCAGGGTGTGATTCTTAATTTACCCCCATTGCAATGGAAAACCTTTTGCAGCATAGCCCATAATCCAGCATAGAAGGTTGGTATCTGCCCTTGCAGCTTCCCTGAATTGTTCTAGCGCCCCCTATGGATCGGAGTTTCCCATTACTGCTGGGGGGGGGGTGGTGGGGGGGGGGGGGGGGGGGGGGGGGGGGGGGGCGGCGCTGGAAGCTGCAGGAGCAGATACCTATACTTTATACTGGATTATGGACTATGGTGCAAAACTGTGTCATTGCCAGGGGGAGGCTGAGTGATTGTTTTTAAGGGGGAGTAGGCCAAATAAGGGAACCTATACTGTAGATGGTGGTGATGGTATTACCCTTTTTTATAGGTAGAGAAACTTCAGGTTAGAGAGCTCAAGTAAGTGCCCCAAACACACAAATGATAACTGGGTTTCAAATGCTCATCCTCCTGACAAGAGTTCCGGCTCTTCCCGCCAGCCAGGAATTCCTGCTTTTCCCACCAACCGACCCCGCAGCTCTCATTGCTCCTGAAAGACCTCTCCTGGTGGACGAATGAACCGACATGTCAAGTGGAGATGTTTTGCATTGGCCCCTGGCCTGGCCAGACTGGCTTTTAATGACCTGCTCTTGGCAATGAATGGCCAGCAGGGGCATAGGTTAGACAAGGCCCTTGCAGAATGTCTGGGCAGGACCACACCACCAGCTCATCTTGCTGTGGGCAGCAGCAGGAGGGCCTGGGCCCAGGCCTTCTAAAAAGCTTTGCCAAATGAAGTCACGTTGAAAAGAGAGGAGCCAGGCTTCCATTGCCAACGTTACGCCATTTGGAGTGAGAAATTTCTGCTAAGAGCCCGTTTCTGCCCCATCTACTTCTAGGAAATCTTCTGTGGTAAAGTCTCTGGGGGGGTCATTAGCAGGTGCTGATCAATACTGAGCAGTAGACAGGCCAAGAGATGCCTCTGAACAGTAGACTCAGTTTGGCAGCAGGCCATGAACGACTGTTTCTCAGCCAAATGACAGTGCCACCACAGTGGTTCCCGCAGCGGTTCAAGGCTCTCTCCAGATCTCGAGGCCTGCTCTTTACTGAAGAGGTGTCACCCAGTCCCCAGAGGGCACCCAACAGGCAGCCGGTGGCGTCACTGGGAGGGAGGGAGGGCTGTCCTTGTGTGCTGCGCATGCTGGGCTCCGAACCCATCCATGAGGTAAGAGTGCCTCCCTCAGGACACCAACGGCTGTGGAGGGAAGGGAGCTTCCGGCCCGGAGTCTCTTGGCCTGAAGGCAACGGTCTAGACTGTTATCAGCCAAAGGGTGGCTTCATCCCAGGGAGGGGAAATGGACATTTCCAAGACTCTACCTGGGAGATGTAGCTCACTCGGGCAGCAAGAACTCGAGGACCCCCACACCTCTGCTGGACGCCCCACAGTGACCAGGTCAAGGTGGGTCCTTGGTCGAGACACCTGGGGGTCACACCTCTCCCATAAGCCTGCAGTGCTACACCGTCAACAAGCCAACCGACCTCTGAGAGGGTTACTATGGGCTGCCTTCCTTTATCTTTCCTTCCTTAAGTCCTTCCTTATGCTGTAGTTTACCGTGTGTTTTTTTTAATCAACAATTTGATTGACATCTAATCCACATCCCATATGATTCAATGGTCTAACCATAGTTAAAAGAGCTGTGCCCTCATCACCACCATCGACTTTGGGGGCTGAATGGCTGCATTCTGTATGAGACAGTTACAAGTGGGGCTCAAGTCGAGGGTCAAGTGAAGAGCCCGGGCCACGACAGACGGCCGCCACACAGGCTCCAACATGACCACGGCGAGGCCAGCACAGGCCTGGGCAGTGTTTCATTCCGGCATGCAGAGGGTTGCGATGAGTCGGACCCGACCGGACAGCACCTAACAACACCCAAGACCCCCAAAGAAGGAGTGGACCCGGCCCATCCAAATCCGCGTCTTTGGGCCACCGGTGAAGGGAGGTTTCATGGACCAGGCGTGGAGGGAGGGGCCGTCTGGAGCAATCTGGTCCAGGGGATAGGCCTGCTGGTCCTCGGAGGCTCCCTTGGCCTGGAGGGGCAGGCCTGCATCCCAGCTGCAAGTATGGTTCGCTGATGGAGAGAGGTTCCGTGCAATGTCTAAAGAGACTCAGCGGAGATGTGTCAGATCATCATGAATTCCAGAGGAACGACAAGATTGGCACAGGAGAGCCCAGGAGAGCCAGCCTTCATGAAGTGAACGCTGGGGCCGGGGAGGCGTCGGCTCCTCAATGGCGGTTGGCAGTTGGTTTTCCAGAAACATGCTGCATTTTTAGTTATTTGTGTTGTTGGGAACACACTAAGCGGAACATCCGCCGGATCAGCACTTCTTACGTGTGGGACTCAACGGCTTCATTGAAGGCAGCCCCCCTCGGTCTCCTTTTCCAAGATGCTCCTCCTCCATCCATCAGCGTAAACTCTCTAGCCCCCAGGATTCGTCTCCTCTTCAGATGTGCTGTTGTCCACCTGACCCCGTACTAACATCTGAAGGGACCGCCAGGCACAAGGCAGAGCCCCTGAGTGAGCTGAGCTGAGCGACATGGTTCTGCAGTGAAGCATTCTGTCTTTGTCCGTTTGGGGAAAACTACAAAACTCACCGCCTTCCAGTCCATGCGGCCGCACAGTGACCCAATAGGACAGGGGAGGCCGACCCCTGTGGGTTTCCGAGACCTTAGCTCCTTACGGGAGTAGAGAGCCCTGTCTCTCTCTCCGCCATCTGGGATGCAGGCTTCTCATTTTCCTGGCCTCTATCAAACCAAGGACCAGCCCTCTGGTCCCCAGGCCCCTGGTGTCGGGTATGTGAACAATAGATCAGGAGTTCTTTCTGAGTACCCTTTGCTCCTGGAATCATGACCAACTCTATCCTTGCTCCGAGTGTCGTCCTTCTGCTGGGCTGGTCAGCCGAGGGCTCTCATTGGAAAGAGGCCAAAGTCACCCTGACAGGCTCCTTGGGTGTCTCCATCTGATTAGTCTGATTTCAACCACTCTTCTCCTTTGAAACACAGTAAGAGCTCCAGTTAGGGTTATGGTCAGGGTCAAGGGTGGGGTTTATGCTCTCTTCTCCCTACTCTGAAAGCTGTCCCCTCTCTGTCTCTACACACACACACACACACACACACACACACACACACACACACAGAGTATTTGTTGTCCTGTGCAGGACTCTCCATTCATGCCCAATAGCCTCTTCTTGCCTTCTGCACAGGATGCAAGGACTTGGGGTCTGAAGCCCTGGGTTGGGAGACTTTAGGGTCACCGCTAGCCACAAAGGTGTAAGCTCAGTCCTTTCCTGGCTGTCAACTTGGAGGGAGGGAGCCCGAGAAGGCCTGGGTCCCCGGGTGTTTTCCAAGCTCACCTGGCCGCTCAGCCAGGGCTGGGCTTCTCTTCTGCAGGGCACCATCATCTTGCCCAACCTGGCCTCTGTGCTCCATGACCCCAAGTGCTGGGAGACCCCCCGACAATTCAACCCCGGCCACTTCCTGGACAAGGACGGAAACTTCACGCTCAATGAAGCCTTCTTGCCATTCTCAGCAGGTACTGGGTGCAGCCCTGCGTCCTGGGTGGGAGGTGGGGGGAGGGCCTGGCACAGGAGCAGCTGCCACCCTCTGACCTTTCTCTCTGCTTCCAGGCCACCGGATGTGCCCAGGGGACCAACTGGCCCGGATGGAGCTTTTCCTGACGTTTGCCATGCTGCTCAGAACCTTTGAGTTCCAGATGGCTGAGGGGAGCCCGGGGCCCCGACTGGAGTATGTGTTTGGGGGCACGCTGCAACCCCAGCCTCAAAAGATCTGCGCTGTGCCCCGGCCCCACGTCCCAGGCCCGTAGCCATGGTGCGTCAGGAGGCCTCTCCCCCACAAGGTCCTTCCTTGGCCTCCCTTGCCTTCTGAAAAGTTGGGGAAGTAGAAAAATAGGGGGTCACCTAGCTCAGTTACTCATGGCTCCCCTGATACAAGTTGTAGGGGGTGCCAAGGGAGAGTAGACTTATTAAATATGCTGTAAAAATATTTTGGTTAGCTCAGCTTTGGCAGGGAAGCAGTTTACAAAGTTAGTTAAGATTTGGCATGGTGTCATTTCCCAAGGTTAATCTGGAGACACACCTTTACAAAGAAGCACGCAAGCAGGATTGGAGGTAGTAGCTTGGAGGCAAAAGGTTGTTCACGCTGTGGAAGGTGGGGCTGGATAACCCAAAGACCGGTGCCTGTTTTCTGCCCTCTCCTGCCCTCTTCTGCCCAAGAGAAGAAGTGCATGCAGCCCTGTAACAAGAAGAAAGTAAAGCTGCCAATGAAATTATTCTCAACAAATGTCCCACCAAAGACTCCCTTTCCCCTAGAGGCCTCCCAATTTTAACCCCATATCTCCAGATAACCCTTGCTTATCAAAACAACGAATGACTTATATTAGGGAGGTGCTATGAAAATGCAAATAAGAGTCTTATGGCTTGAAGGTAAACAAGCAGTCATCTAGCTCAGAAGCAACAAAGCCCACATGGAAGAAGTACACCAGCCTGTGTGATCACAAGGTGTCGAAGGG